TGGGTTGGGAAGATCCCCTGGAGAAGGGAAAGGCTACTCACTCCAGTATTCTGGCCTGGAGAATTCCATGGACTATATAGTCCACAGGGGTGCAAAGAGTCGGACACGACTGATTGTTTACATTACTCAAACTACGTTTCACAATTTCTTTGTAGCTTGTGGCACATTCCTTAAATGTCTACAATAGTGATGAGCTTTGATTGTCTGAAATTGTTGGTTTTGTTGTTAGTTCTGGAAAAAGCCAAGTTGCATGCATCTTATGGCAGGGCTACCTGCTGAGGGAACCACCATCCATAAGAGAATGCACCAAAGCTGCAGGCTTTTCACCCTTAAGAGAGCTAACATACCACAGATACACACACGTACACAATGATCATCACAATCATTGTGTTAAGAACCACCATCATGGTGAGGTCTGGCCCTCAGATGCATATCGTATTTTCAGAGTGTAATCGTCTCACCCTCATGAGATAAATACAGGCTTCCAGAGACTGACAGAAAATTTACTAAGTAATCACTCATCAGCTCTGAAAGTGTGAGCTTCTTAAAGAAACATCCCACTTACTGTTGTTGGTTTTAACATATTTGATGAAAAAGATCCTATAAATGGACAAAGTGAGCATGCAAATGAGTTCTCAATAAACGAGCGTATGCTTTGCTTGTACAGCAACATACAAACATCTGCATAGTTGCAGGCAGACAGGTAATCTTGTTTTTCCAGAGTTCTTTCTCAACTATTCATAACACAGCAAATACAAGGTCTGAAGCATTTAAGTGCTCTGAGAAGCTAAAATAGATGCCATAAATCCATATCCCAAAGCTTTTTTATTCAAAAAGGAAACCAACCAAAACAAGGTAACTCCAAATTTAGCATATGCTCATACTATTTCAAAAATATACATCCACTTTAAGCCTTTTAAATCATATTTACTTTTACTTTGCGTATATTTTTAAACAACCTTGGTTACATAATTTCTCAGCCTAGTGCATATTAGAATCAACAAATTAGACAGAACACGTTGACAGCCTAGTAAATTCCAAGCACGTTGGCAGAAGCAAAAATGAGAAGTGAAGGCTCACTGATGGAGAAGAAGGAAAAACAAGCAGAACAACTTCAGTCTGGGGTCATTTAATGTAGAAGACACTGTTCTTATTGTATTTTGATGGGCTCTCTATTGCAGGTAAAAATGAAATGACTTATGTTTATTATAATGAATCATTACTGAGTCATTATTCAAAAGCCATCTTATACTCAGAGATATTGTTACTTTCATTCTTTTCATCATTCAGCTGACATTTATTGAGCCTGATTTATTTGCTCAGCCATGTGCAAGGCAACAAGGATATAAAGATAAAAAATTGGCAGTGGACTTCAAAACACTCCTGATTGGTAGGTGGAAACAGATACAAGGGAAAATATCTGTAATAGGCTGAGAGGAACAGAATATACCATACTGGAAATATATACAGAATGTTACAGGGGCCACCAGTTAAGAGTTTGAAGATGCATACGATAAGGGAAAAATCATTCCCAGTCAAACAAACTTCAATTATTTAGAAAAGTCATTCTGTAATATGCTGCATTCCCAGGCTGCCAGATAAATAAGGCAACATTACTGTGTGTTACAGGGGTGACAAATGACAAATAAGGCTCATGAACTAAATCCCAGTGCTTTAGAGGAAGTTATGCAGGCAGCAGCATACAGGAAGGACATGCCATTCTTAGAGGCAGTTTATAATTTACACACACAATTACACGTATACAGATGGAGCTGAGTGCATAATGGGCATTTAGGATGCAATCCAAGTGAGGGGCAACCCCATCTCCGAGTGTGCTCTCAGCATCCTTGACACAACTGTGTGAATGATTATGTCAAGCGTGTTAAGTCTTCCGTCCTAAAGACTTCCCCACACATTCCCGTCCATTTCAATCCACTCCTCAGAAGCCCTCCAGATTCTTCTGTTCTCGCCAACCCACTTTAGCACTTAATCATAGGCTGCCTTATCTTGTCATTGAGTCATTCCATGTAGGCATTGTCTGTCTGCTCAGAGATCCTGGATCCTCGAAGGGGAGGAACTGTTCCTGGTCCAGCGCTCCTGTGTTTCCATCACTGAGCACACGGCTGCAGTACAAAGTAGCTGCTCAGCAAGTACCTTTATGGGTCTTATGATGAAGATGAGATCTTACCAATACGGTAAGTGAAACCGCCAAAGCAATTTCCCCCAGGTAAGATTACATTCAGCGTCTTAAAATACCCTAGCAGGTGACGTGTCCTCATAGCAGCAGATTGCATACCCAGCCTGTCTGTATTTCAAGTCAATATGACACAGTGGCAGAGTCCGCCTGCCAGTGCAGGTGATGCAAGAGATGCTGGTTCGATCCCTGGGTCGGGACAACCCCCTGGAGGAGGAAATGGCAACCCGCTCCAGTGTTCTTGCCTGGAGAATCCCATGGACAGAGGAGCCTGGTGGGCTACAGTCCATGGGGTTGCAAGGAGTCAGACACGACTGACAGAGCACACACACACACACACATTTACTTACCTATTTATTATGACTATTAATTATTACTGCAAAGACTAATGAGTGATTCTTGCTACCAGGAAGATGCAAATAACAGGAGCAGCTCTTCTCTTATCATTATAAACTGGCCTGCAGTGATGGTTAATGGATCCTTGAAAATAAAGCTGATTGCTGGTGGTCTTTACTTAAGCTCAAAAGAAAGATTTGTGTTCCTGGCAGAACCATGTCCTTCCTGCGTCAGACGACCATTCATAATCTGACTGCAGATCTAGACTGTGACTAATATTTGGCTCTAATATTATAGGTGGTTACTGTGGAGGGAATCAGTAAGGACATAATTGTCACTTCCTTGGAAAAATTTAATCCACAGATGGATCCCAACACCCAACTGTACTGATGTCCAACTGCATTGGAGATTTTTATTTTTTGCTAAATAAGGACTGATTCAGCCAAAAAGATATACTCTGAGAGAAATCTATATCACATACTCGCTCCAAAAAAGTACATTTATCCAAGCACTGAATGGTTTGGAACACTAGAATTTTCCTAATAGGGACATAGTGAAAGGCTCATTCATTTAATTCACATTTGTATTTTTCTTATAAGATGAAGCAATAGAGTTAATCAATGCTTCCCTGCATTTATAAAGTTTCAGTCATAAACAAAATTTAATTCTTCATGTTTCCTTATTTAGCTAAATAATTAAGGGAAACAGTCTATTCAGATTGGGAATCTTCTTGTTAAAACAATCAACCTTTCTCTAATTTTTGGCTTCAATAAATAAGGCTTGATGCATATCATTCCATGGGAGGTGAAAGTGACATTGGTAAGAAGGACTAGGATACATGTATTTATTTGCAATTTATTTCCCATCAGTAAATTTATACAAACAGCCATCATCTGATAACTTTGCATTCATTTTTTAAAAAAGATTTTTCTGATCATATGAAACCATCCTGATCTGTGGTGTATTCAGTTTACTTAGAGTAGCATATTAAAGTAAAACCATTTCAATCGTAATTCCAGAGAAATGGTATCCCTTTCTGGGTGACTGGTTTTCAGAAAGAGCTCATTACCTGGAAATAAGTGTTGGATTTTTGTGGTTTGGAAAATCCTTAGCCATCTACAGATGCATAGATTGAATCACAGTAACAGAAGAGATCATCTATAAACGATGAATTTCCTCTTTCCATTTAGGTTTAATATGCTTTGAAGGGTTCACGGGGCCTCTCCGGTCCAATCCAGAAATGCAGGAGGAAACCCGTCTCAGAGGCAGCTCACTGCAGCGCAGGGAGCCACCGCGTCCTTTGTCCACTGGTCATGCGGACAGCTTGTCTGTCTCCAGGTTCTTTCAGCTTTAGGCTACAGCCTGGCTTCCTATACATCCACCCCGTTGGCACAGTTAATGCAAATGGCCTATAAATAGCACTTGGCTTCACACAGGTTAAATGAGATCTCCATGGTGTGAACCATGATTCCCACGGAGAGGGCTTTAAAAGGCAAGACAGTTGGGAGCAGGGCTCGAACCACTGTACCATCGCCACAAGCGGAATGAAACAGCCAGGCGCTTGGCTGTCAGTCACACCGCCTGCACCACCTGTTCCAGCCCCTTTTAATGTCAGTGTCTTGGGACAGTGACTAGGAAGAGCGGCACGCCGGCTGAGGCAGGATTCAGAGGGAGCCGGGAAGCCCAAGCGCACGTCACCAGCACCTCCTAGGGGCCGGGCGCGCGAAGGAGGCTCAGAGGTGGGTCCCGGCGCGAACCCCGGTTCCCGGTCGGTTTCACTCTCGCGCTCGCGCACAGCCACCCCGGCGGTACCGCCCGGAAAGACGAGCTAGAGTGTGGAAGTAGTTTGGCGTTTCTAGGAGGCCTTGGAGAGGTTTAAACTGCGCGGAGGACACATTCGATCGCTTGAGGAAATAAACATTCACCATACACACACACACACACAGAGGGATGGCAAACTTGGTGTAAGGAGGATTCTTAAGTATTCTAAGAGCAAAGCTTCGTGATGACACCAAAATGCTTAGGCGTGCGCGGCTCCGCAGTGTACACACACACACACACACACACACACACACACAGTGTTCCAGAGTCCACGCCCGGTTCACACTGCGTTTGACAGCGTTTGTGAAAGGGTCTCCTTGCCCTTGCCCGGTTGCTGGGCGGGAGGGCTGGGAGGCGCCGGCGCGCGGCAGCGCTGAGCGCCCGTAGGAGTTGGCCGTTGCAGAGAATTCAGGAGTCTAACTGCTCTGGGTTTAGATCAGCAGAGCGTGGCGGGCGCGCTGGTGGAGACCGGGATTGAGGGCGGACCCCGCGGCAGGGAACGGGCCGTTCACCCTCCCGAGCAGCCCCGGCTCTCTGTAAGTAACTCGCCCCCAAGTCGGGAGAGGGAAGGGCCGGGCGGCCCGGTGCTTCGCGGACGCCTCAAAAGAGCCCAGGAAAGCGCAGAGCGCACTGGAGACCCGGCCCGCGCGCAGCCCGCCCTGGCGCCGGCCCGCTGGGTCTTGGGAATTGCTGGTTCGCTTTGGCTCCCTCGCTTGTACAAACTCCTGGATCTCACATGCCTCTGTAACCCCCCCACTTCCACTCCATGTCCCCATGCTCCTGCGCCAGCAACAGGTAAGGGCTGCTGTGTGTTTTCTTACCCGCTTTGCTCTCCTTGCCTGTGGGTCCCGGGGAGAGGACTCGGGCTTCGGTCCCCGACCCCGCCCGGGCCGGCCGCCCCAGAGGTGCCCAGCTGTCAGGCGGCCTTTAGCGCTCCCCCACGCGCCGGAGTCCCAGAGCCTGCCTATAGAGTTTGTGTGCGCACCAGAACATCCTCAGAGCTAAAAATACGGAGACATGCTTGGAACAGTTGAGCAATAGAAACATTTCTCCGCAGCATCTGTTTGTGCTCATAACTTCCAGTGCACCAGCTGGAGCGAGATACTCAGTTGGGAGACCCGGGCGAGGGAGCCTGTGTTCGGTTCTGTCTCTCAGGAGGAAAAAAAAAAAAAGGGGGCCGTGGCTGCATCTAGAATACCGGTCTCAAACCTTGGCAAACCTTGGGACTCAGCGCCGGTCTCGATCGTTGGCGTCTTTCCTCCCCACCGCCTCTGTCATTGCTTCAAGTGTAGCTTGAGTTCCAGACCCAGCGAGCTTCTCTCAAAGTTGCTTTGCTGGGGAAGAGAACCGGAGCTCGCGCTGGATCTGAGCCCTAAGATCGTGAAACTTGCACACCTCCCCTAAGCAGCTTGCTCTTCTTTGGAATAATCACGTTAATCCTGAAATTTGAAGACGGTGAGGTTTCAGGGAAGCACGGTGGTCGAAACGACTTGATTCTGCAAAGGATTGCATCATAACAGAGAGTCATCATGACAGTTGGAAAAAAAAAGATCGAGATAGGAAGTGGGCAGTTTATTGTCTGTGTCTGGGCGATCCTGTCAGCAGGGTAACTAAGATGCGGCTGTGAATCCTGGGATTTCTATTAACCAAGAATTTACCTTTTAGGAAATCAGGCCTGATTTGAAAGCCTGTTTTGGGTATGCAAAGAATGTGTATTGCTTTGTACCACTTGCTTTCATTCCCTGTTAGTGATCGGTAGGCTGTCAGATTTTCTCCCACTAAGGACTGCTGTATGCCTGCTTTGTGTTACCTGTATGCTTGCTAGCTTTTTCCTGCTCACTTCCACACCCTGCTCCAAGTGTTTACTATTTGTCATGATCCAGAAAAATCCCCAGGCTGAGGAATTAAGAGAGGTAACTTTAAGGAAGGTGGGAGGGGTCAGAGTTGGGGTCAAGGTCATGTCATTTTGCTTTCACTCCCGCCCCCTCCCCCTGCCGGCACTTCCTTTTTATGTTATTGCTCTCCATAGGAATATTTGTTCTGAGCTCTTGTAAACTGACCTTAAAAAAAATAGCACCGGGTATTTCTACTTCCTTCTACTTCCTTCTACTTCCTTGAGACCTTCCGTCTGCCCAATCCTTGTCAGAGTCCTCGCATGACATTTTGAGTAGCATAAGACCGACCACGTATTTACCTGGACAGAAGGACAGTTTCAGGCTTTTTCTTTTTTTTTTTTAGTGTTTATTTTTGTTTGCTATAGAGGTATATAGTTCAGCATGTGCGCATACCAAGTGATGCTGTATGCCTTGTTGAGTGTGAAAGATGTGGGGCTCCCAGAGGTGAGTGGGTGCCCCTCCTCTCCAAGCGCCCCTCCCCCCCTTCTGTTTACTGAGCTTCTGAGAGGTTGCTTTGCCAGCCTTGAGCTCTCGTAGCAACGGATGCCCAGAGTACACTCAGGCTGGTCTATATGGCGTCAGCTGGGGAATAGCTGCTCCAAACACTCATTAGCCGACCTCTCCTTCAGTCCTTCTGCCGTCCCTGTTTCCTCTCCTTACTCAGAAACTTTCTTATTCACTCCACACCACGACCATGAGAGGGGGCCCACTTATTCTCATTTAGTCTTCCAGGTGAGCACGTCTCTGTTCTTGGATGATCCTTCCTGGGAATATCTCGGTGATGGTAAAAATGATCTGGATACATTCACTTACACTGCGTTATCTCCTTGGCCTCATCTCTGTCTCCAGCTTTCCTCCTTTAACATCTACCTTGAGATGGAAGCCCTGAACTATTTTTTTTCCACTGCTTATGCTTAATTTGGGCTCAGCCTATAAATAGTCTTAACATGAAGAGCAGCACATGTAACCTCTCCATTTCCCAGAAATACTTTCTTTCTCATTGGTTATGCCCTGGGTAAAAAGGATTGTTTGTGTCTATTAAGTTTATTTCAGGCCCTTACATATTCTGGCTGAAAATGGGGGCATTTGCACATTGTTCATCAAATAACATGTGAATTCTCCTGAGCTGTGCCCCTCAAGGAGGGCAGTCACTGGGGGTTTTCATTAGTTCTTAATCAGATGATTCTCAAGAATTTACTTAGAATGTGGCCCTAAAATGAAGTTGCATGAAAGCCCTATACCTAATTAAAGTGTTTTCCCAGATGCTCATGAATTGGTGATTTTCAGTGTGAGAAGTGCAGGCAAGGAAGTTTTCTGCTTGCCTGCAGCCACTCAGGCATGTGGGCAGGTTGATAGGAAAGACAGTCTTCAGAGTGGAATATTAAGACAGTTACCCTATCAGACTTTGGCAGTGTCTCAGCTTTTGCTGTATCATCAGCTCCACCAAAGTCTGAATACGCATCATGTGTGCGCACATATACACACATGAATCTGTTTTGGAACGTATCTGCTGGAGGTGACAAAAGTTTCCATTTTGCCAAAAAAATCTTTCTTCCCCCCCCCCTTTCCAGGCAGAAATGGTAAAATTTCTAAATGATGCTCCGCATATGGAACAAATTCTGTCATTAGCAATGGAAATAAGACAATAATAGTCGCTCAGTACAGGCTCTCTTCAAGATTCTAAATGCGGAAAGCTATTCATTCGTAGGAAGCTGGTCGTGTGTGTTTTGTGGAATTCAGATGAATGTCCTGGGGTCAAGATTTTTAGAAAGTCGTACTTCAGTCTTTAGATTTCATATGACTGTTATGCTTTAATCTGGAAAGAGAGCAGAAATAAGTCAGAAGAAATCTGAGACTGTCTACTCTTGGTCCCTAATAGTAACTCGGATGGAAGGATTGTTTTGAATCATGAAAAGGGAATTTCTTGGTGTCAGCTTATAAGATCCTGAAGTCAGTCAGAACTCACACTATTTAAATGAGGCCTCCCCTGTCCCCCGTTTCTTGGAGCATGCACCTGCATTTGGTGTCATATTATTATCTCTAATTGTGCACGTGTGTGTGTGTGTGTGTGTGTGTATAAGGGCTCAGCAATTTCATATGAGCCAAATGAGCTGAAATCTCTGTTTACAAAAAATCTTTCTGTGGCCAGGGTCTAGAACCCTGAGGAATCAGAGTCTTGTTTCTTTCGTCCAAGTGCAAACTTCATGGGAAGCAGACAAAACACTGAAGCAGGTGGAAGGGTGAGAAAACACAGCACCTTCTTTTTATAAAGTAATTCAAAGGCAGTTTCAAATCGGGCATCATTTAGGTGTCAAAAGCTGCCAAAATGTAACACAGATTGCAATTTTCACAGATGACTAATCTCAGGAAAAATGTGTTGGGGCACATTCTTGCATAATAACTTGGATAAAGAGGCAGAAGTGAAAAGACTATAACAAGTCATTTTCAAAGACAATACACCTTGCCTTCTTACTCAGGGGGTGCGTGAAAACAGATCAGTGATTTGCTGTCTTTGCAGCTGGTCTGGTTGCACATGGTTCTGTTAACTGCTTAATCTGAGTGCGGTTAGGGGAGAAAGAAAAAGTGTGTCCTTGTCATCAGGGCGTCGACGAATATCTGATCCTGTCTATCTGCTGTTCACTGTCCCCCTTGAATCCAGGAGACAGCTTTGGTGGTTTGAAAGTCAAGCATCCCTCCTATTTTTCATTTCCCTGCTGTGTTCATTTTTTAACTTACATTTGGTTGCCAAAACACCCTAGACTTTCTCCCAGCCTTTTGCAAATCAAGGAAAAATGATATCCTTTGGAGCAAACATGGAAAGTCAAAAGTCAGTAGATGATTTTTAACTACAGGGGCAGAGGTGCAGCGGGCGTGAGATGAGCAGAGAGGGGGAAACTGAGAACTGCTGTTTATTTGTTTGCATTAAGTGAAGGTGAGCACCTTCTCTGCAGGAACAGAGGTCAGAAAGCCGAGCTGCAAATGCCAGTGGCTGAGGGGGCCCTGTGACTTAGCGCTGCAGAGTTGTCTGTGTTTAGGAGCACACAGACTTGGACTCCCGTGAAATGAGTCCCAGCCTCATCTCAGTCCACGAAAGATCTGATCCTTGAGCACAAAGGTGCTTACTTCCTCCCCTGTCTTTACACACGGCAATCCCATCTCCAGAGAATTTCAGGTCTCTCATTGCTAAGCAACAGGATCACTCTGTATCCCCCAGAGTGAGCCTGCATCTTCAAGTCCGAATCACTTGCAGGAACAGAGATGTTATCAGGAGTTTCTGCCGCTTTCGGGGGCTGCTGTCAGCATGTGACGTGATGGAATAAGCCCAAAAGGTCTCCAGAAACCCGCATCCCTTTCAGATGATTGTAAGGGCTGTCTGCTCAGTTATCTGTTAAATGAACTAGTCAATGCTTTTGGATTCCAGCCTTGTCGTTGAGGGCTGTCATATTCTTCCACAATGCACCTGCTACTCGATGAATATGAGCATTCTGCATTCGTGTGAAATGTTCTCTGACATGTCCGAGTTCTTAAAGCTTCATGGCAAACCTGGAAGTTAGAAAAGTCTTTCTTCTGCTTTATCACCAGGGACCCCAGCAAATGAAGAGCATAAGAAGAGACAGGTGGATCTGTAAAGTAGAATATTCTAGATTTCTGGCCAAAAACAGGGGAACAGGAATCTGAGACTTTGGATGAGGGGAAGGGATAATTAGGAATGGATGGATATGTGCACACTGCTATATTTAAAATGGACAACCAACAAAAATCTGCTGTCCAGCACAGGGAACTCTGCTCAATGTCCTGTGGCAGCCTGGATGGGAGGGGAGTTGGGAGGAGAATGGACACGTGTGTGTGTGTCTGAGTCCCTTCACTGCTCACCTGAAGCTGTCACAACATTGTCAATCAGCTGTACGCCAATGTAAAATTTTAAAGTTAAAAAAAAAACACTGTCATGAACAGCTATCTCTTCTGTGTCTAGCGACATCGTGTTTTTAAGTAATATAAGAATATAGTTTCGTTCTATTTTTTTCAGTTCAGTTCAGTTCAGTTGCTCGGTCGTGTCCGACTCTTTGCGACCCCATGAATTGCAGCACACCAGGCCTCCCTGTCCATCACCCACTCCCAGAGTTTACTCAAACCCATGTCCATCAAGTCGGTGATGCCATCCAGCCATCTCATCCTCTGTCGTCCCCTTCTCCTCCTGCCCCCAATCCCTCCCAGCGTCAGGGTCTTTTCCAATGAGTCAGCTCTTTGCATGAGGTGGCCAAAGTGTTGGAGTTTCAGCTTCAGCATCAGTCCTTCCAATGAACACCCAGGACTGATCTCCTTTAGGATGGACTGGTTGGATTTCCTTGCAGTCCAAGGGACTCTCAAAAATCTTCTCCAACACCACAATTCAAAAGCATCAATTCTTTGGCGCTCAGCCTTCTTCACAGTCCAACTCTCACATCCATACACGACCACTGGAAAAACCATAGCCTTGACCAGATTGACCTTTAGGGCTACACAAAGAAATGAAAACCCCAGTAATTCAGCATAAAGGACATTCATGTGTATCTGTCTCTGTTTCTGGCTAGGAACTGTTGCATTAGAGAGTAGAACCCTTTCCTAATGAACTTCTTTTGTAATAAAAGATCTCTCTCTTTTTTGCAGGACCTGTTCTCTGGATGTCAGCTGAGTTACTAAAGTGACTCTGCATGTCAAGAGACAGACCTTGGTAGCCAGAACCTCAAGGCCCCTGGAGACCCCATCCCTCCTTCTTTTTTTGTGTGTGTGGGTCCTCACTGAACATTCAAACCTGTTTCTCCAAAGGGTTTTGCAAAAACTGAGACTGTTTCCCAAAGCAGAAGCGCTGGCGTCGGCAGCAGAAGCGATGGGCAGCGTGCGCACGAACCGCTACAGCATCGTGTCTTCGGAGGAGGACGGCATGAAGCTGGCCACGCTGGCGGTGGCCAACGGCTTCGGGAACGGCAAGAGCAAAGTCCACACGCGGCAGCAGTGCAGAAGTCGCTTCGTGAAGAAGGACGGGCACTGCAACGTGCAGTTCGTCAACGTGGGCGAGAAGGGCCAGCGGTACCTGGCCGACATCTTCACCACGTGCGTGGACATCCGCTGGCGCTGGATGCTGCTCATCTTCTGCCTGGCTTTCGTGCTCTCCTGGCTCTTCTTTGGCTGTGTGTTTTGGCTGATTGCACTGCTCCACGGGGACCTGGACGCGTCCAAGGAGAGCAAAGCCTGCGTGTCCGAGGTCAACAGCTTCACGGCCGCCTTCCTTTTCTCCATCGAGACGCAGACCACCATCGGCTACGGCTTCCGCTGTGTCACAGACGAGTGCCCCGTGGCCGTCTTCATGGTGGTCTTCCAGTCCATCGTGGGCTGCATCATCGACGCCTTCATCATCGGCGCGGTAATGGCTAAGATGGCCAAGCCCAAGAAGAGGAACGAGACGCTGGTCTTCAGCCACAATGCCGTGATCGCCATGAGGGACGGCAAGCTCTGCCTCATGTGGCGGGTGGGCAACCTCCGGAAGAGCCACTTGGTGGAAGCGCACGTGCGCGCACAGCTCCTCAAGTCCAGAATCACCTCCGAGGGGGAGTACATCCCCCTGGATCAGATAGACATCAACGTGGGCTTCGACAGCGGCATCGACCGCATATTTCTGGTGTCTCCCATCACCATCGTCCACGAGATCGACGAGGACAGCCCTCTGTATGATCTGAGCAAGCAGGACATCGACAACGCAGACTTTGAGATCGTGGTCATCCTCGAGGGGATGGTGGAGGCCACGGCCATGACCACGCAGTGCCGGAGCTCGTACCTGGCCAACGAGATCCTCTGGGGTCACCGCTACGAGCCGGTCCTCTTTGAGGAGAAACACTACTACAAAGTGGACTATTCCAGGTTCCACAAGACTTACGAGGTCCCCAACACGCCTCTATGCAGTGCTAGGGACTTGGCGGAGAAGAAGTACATCCTGTCGAACGCTAACTCATTTTGCTACGAAAATGAGGTCGCCCTCACAAGCAAAGAGGAAGACGACAGTGAGAACGGGGTTCCCGAGAGCACAAGCACAGACACGCCCCCGGACATCGACCTGCACAACCAGGCCAGCGTACCTCTAGAGCCCAGGCCGCTGCGGCGGGAGTCGGAGATATGACTGAGTCCTCCTGGGGAGTGGTTCCTTTGAAACATGGTCTGTTGGTCAAAGGCCCAAAACAGTTACGCAGACGACGGTACCAGGGCCAGGTGGTTTGAGGCAAGTGACCGCAGGGACAGGGGCGAGCACGGTGGTTTTAGAGAAAGACTGTAAGCCCGAAGATGAACCTAAAGCACTAAACAGGCCTCCCCGTGACCCGAAGGCACATAACACGTTGTAGAATAAGTTATGGGGTGTTTGTGTTTGTGTTTTGTGTTTTGAACCAAACTTGAACTTGCAGGCAAGCCTTGGTTGGTGGGGTGTTTGACTTCTCCAGAACGCTTCTCTCTAGGGAACAAGAATGTTTTTAAATGGCATCACATTTTTCAATGTTTTAAAGGCAAGACTCTGCCTTAACTTTTGAAAAGCTGCTAACTACACCAACACACTTTGTATTGTTGCAGTGTAGTTTTTTTTTTTTCCTCTTGTGTGTAATTTAAAAAGTCAGTGTTGAACTTTGTTGAAAGCTCATGATGTGCGCTTCAAAGTGGCAAGTATTTGGCTATTAGCTGCCAAACGAGAGCCTGATTTTTTGAGGCCAGTAATTTGTTTGCTAGGATTGATTCTCTCTCTCTCTCCCTCTTGTGCGTTCTGTCTGTCTCTCTCTGGTTACATAAGGGCATTATGTAACACTAGCCAAATGGTAGCCTCCGGGTTGTTGTTAATGTTTTATTTTTTTTTTTCCCTCCAAGATGTTAATGGGTTATCTCAAATTTTAAGTTAGACTACCTAAAATAAATACCAAAGATAATGCACATTTTTGCACAGTGGAGCTTACACTAAAAGGGAAAGAAAGCCCCATGGCTGCCTTGAAATCAAGAGACAAGAACTTTGAACCTCAGCGAGACCTTGAACTACCCTCTCATTTTGCACCTTATTCAGAAAATAGAACATCACACACACAGTTGACTAAAGTGTGGTGCTTTTAATTTTTTGTTCTTTCATGTAACTTTCATGTCATAGGAAGAAGACAGGGGGAAGTGAAATTCACACACACACACACACACACACACACACATACAAAAGATATAAGCAACTTTCCTTTCCTTCGAGGTGGTGCTGGCCAGGTGAATGCATACTTTGAGAGATGATGATGACCCCTTAGATTTTTTTTTTCTCCCCTGGATTTTTCCATGTTTTGCACATTCCAAAATTTATCCCAGAAGATAAGACCTAGGTTGACATGAGTTGGCATCCTCCACGCTGAGCCATCCAACTCGAAAGATCAGTAGGTTTAAACCTTAGGGCTGAATTCCTCGCCCTGATGGTGGGTGCATCTCTGACTTGACTTCATTTTCTAAAAGATGCCATGCCTGGCCTGTGGGCTGGTTCTTCTCATTAGACTGTTTGGACCAAGTCCTCCAACATCTGAGAGGGTTGTGAATGCCCCAGTGAGAAGGTAGCAAGATGTGGAAGAGCCATTTTGATGTAGCTCATCAACTCAAGTCTTTAGGAGGAAGGGGAACATTGCTTTTTTTTTTTTTTTTAATGATAGAGAGCAGGAATGAAAATGTCTCAGTATTTTAGGGTCAACAAGGGCCATAACAATCCTAACAGCATCACAAGTAAAGGAGATAATGATCTAAAAGTGTCCTTCCCCCCCCACCCCCGGTGGATCCACACTCGTCTTTGAATCCGCGTGGATCCCTTTTGTCTGTGGAGACCTGGAGCCTGTTACTTGGGGCACATCGTTTCCCAGAAGCTTCTCCTGCCTGGCTGCCTGCCTCACTAGGAACATTTTGTTTGGTTTGGTTTTCCGCTCTAGCTTGATATGACAGAACTCTGTTTTGGTTTAAGGTTCCTTATTTGTGAATTCTGGGGTCACTGATTTTTTTTCTTTTTCAGTGGGAGTCTCAAAATCAACTCTCTTTACGGTATTACACCCCTGTATGCCATTAAAAAACAGCTTGTTCTAGAATCCTGTGTTTCATCAGCCCGTGTCTGGGATGGTCTCTGGTTCCTGACCAGCCATATCTGCATGGGGGGGTGCCTGCAGTCACAGGACAGTCTCTGCTCTTGTCCGCCTTTCGAGTCGGTGGGTTTGAACCCTGTGCAGTTATTTGCATGGAAATCAGGTTGGAGCTATCAGGCGAGGGGATAATATTTGAAGTCCAGGCTTACAGGCCGATGGGGAAGTTGTGTAGAGAGTTGAAGGACTTGGGGTGGACTGGACACAGCATGCACAGTCTCCTGTACACGCGACCGTCCTGCCATTGACAGGGAGAGGGTGCTGAGCGTTTCAGCTGCTGCTATTCCGATATTTTTGCAAAGGACAATAATCAAACCAAAGAGTATTCCGTGATCTGTAAATTACATGAAGATACAGTGGAGGATGGGGGTGACCACGGCGAAGGCACCCTCTCGTCACACAGTGCTGCCACTTAAAAAGACTTGAGGTGTTTGCAACGGGGGTGGGTGGAGGGGGGCAAGAATGAGGGAGGGAACTCTTGCAACTTCTTTCTGAAAAAGAGAAAAAAAATTAAAATTTCTGGTGCACAGGTTTGTTTTTTTTTTTTTTTCAAGAAAATTTTGCAGAAGCTATGTTTTTAAAGTGTACATTTTATAAAGTTTATCAGATATTTTCATATTTAAAGCCAAATGTAAATAGAAGTCTGTAAGGGGAAGAAAATTGCCATAGAAAGTATAATTTCAGTGCAGCAATTTCTGAGAGCTAGTACCTATATGCTACCGGTTAGCATGGTTTTAGCAAATATCTACCAGCCTTATAAGGTTTGTCTTGCTATGTTCTCCTGTTATTTATTTCAGCATGGACTGTTCATTTGAAAACTTTTTCTAGTTATTAGTATTTTAACAGTTACAAGCTTTAAATGGCAATTTTTGTGGGTTTTTTTTTTTGGTTAAGAGCCAAGACACAGTAATGCACAATGGTTTGTTTTTTGGTTTTTTTTTTGTTTTTTGTTTTTTGGGTTTTTTTTTTTTTTTTGCTGCATTTTACCTTTAAAACCTTGGTCTTTACTGCCTGGGTCTCCTTACTTAGTGCACACGTGTCGTGGGAACACAGACTGAAGAAACTCACAGAGTATCTGGGGTCTGTTGCCAGATTCATGTTGCTTCTCTGTTGCAAGCAAACCCCCACTGAGTTTATTTAGGAATTATCCCCTTTTGAAGAATCTGTGCCCGTAACTGGATGGGCTTTATATTTTTGGGAGGAGGTTTAGATTCCTGGTTATCCTATTTTTAAATAAAAGGTAGACAAAGTGAATTCTATTTTGATTATTGAGAAAGGAATATTAATAGTTTTCTATCCCTCTAAGATTATACTTGAATCAGACATTTTAAGGATGTCACCATAACTCTGAAGTCATTTCCAAATTCCTGATGACAGTTTGTTCAGTTTGTTTTACTTTTTTAAAAAATTCTATCAGTGCATTATTCCTCCCTTCCCTTCCTTTCTTCCCTGTCAACTCCCATCTCAAACCTTGATGTTTATTCAGTGCATTTTGTCCCCTGAATCTTGTTACCCTGGCAAAAAAAAAAAAACAAGTGTTGGTTCATATTTGATGATAAGCCACACAGTAAAAGCAAAAAGCTTGTTCTGAGAAGCAGAGTGGATTTTTTTTTTCACTCTGTATCTAGTAAAGTTAAGGTTTAAGAAAAAAAAAAAAGTGTTGCCTAGTCCCTTGCTCCCAACTAGAATCCCTTTTCTAGTTATGTTGGGTTTCAAGCTCTGGGCTGCGGTGAACTGAACAACCCCAGTCTTCGACAATCCTGAGTTATTATCTTCCCGTTTCCTGTCTTTTTGTATCTGAAGTCTTCCTAATGTACTGCACAAACCATGGATTGTACATATTTTTATATATTATGTCTTATTTTATTATTTCTAAATAAAAAGTTAAAAATTGAAAACAAATCAGTGCAAGAAATTTTTGGGCTGTCTGTGTGGTTCCTGTAGCATCTCAGATAGAAACCAAGGGTTCCCAAATGAGAGGACATAAACCCGGATAGGTGGGATGAATGGGACCATAGAAATCTCCAGAACAGGCATGGTGCAGTGGCAGGTTACCTTAATCCCAGTAGGAGGAAGTCAGGCTCAGATTTCGTTTGTGGACAGAATGCCCCAGGTGGAGAGAAGAGAGAAACAACCAAAAACAAGCAAACAAAAATAACAGGAACTACTGAATAGAAGGCTTAGACTTTAAGTCTCTGTGTAATGATAAAAGTTACTTTGTTGAGCTTAACTGTGTGTAGGGTTCAGCTTTATATTAGCTCATTTCCCCAAAACCAAATCAGGTTATTATATTCTCGTATAATAAATCAGAGCAGGCAAACATGTCCCATGAAAGGCCAGATAGTAAACATCTTTGGCTTTGTGAAACAGTTCTTTGTCTCAACCATGCAGCTCTGCCCTCAAACTACAAAAGCAGCCACAGATAATATGAAAAAAAAAGGTGCAGCTGTATGACAATGGAACTTTACTTATAACTACAGGTGGTGGGCCAGACTCGGCCCATGGCCTATAATTTATTGACCTCTGTTACAGATGAAGAAACCAAGTCTGGATTTTAAAGCTAATGAATCATTGAGCTGATACTCAAATGGAGGTTTTATCTGCCTCTAAATTTCATTTAATCCACTAAGCTCTATGGTGTTTTTGAGTACATAGTTACCAAGGATATGTGGGTCTCAGAGAAAACATCAATTCCCCTGGCAGATTTTGAATAGCTTAACTGTTTTTCACTGGTGGAAACACTGAGGAAAATCTCCATTCTGAAATATGGGTTGCTCCTTAAAACTTTTCCTTTAATAAATACTCGATATTTTTCCTTTTAACAAATATTTTTCCTTCAATAAAGTCCTTACTGTGATTCAAAATGGTTCTAAGCTCTTCAGAGCATTAAATAATTTGATCTTAGTGGAGTCTGCACTATTATTGTCCTTATTTAATGAATGAGGCTCCTAAGACTCAGGGAGGTTGAGTATCTTGTGTGAGCACACACAGCTATTAGGAGTTGGAGCTGAGATTTAAACCGAAGACGTTTAACTCGCCGCAACATGGATGGGCCTAGAGGTGATGATACTCAGTGAAGTGAGTCGGAAAGAGAAAGACAAACACCATAGACCTCACTTACATGTGGAATCTAAGATATGACTCAAACGGACGTAGCTGTGAAACCGACTCACAGAGATCAGACTTGTGGTTGCCGGGGGGCAGGGCTGGGGGCTGGGGGCCCGGGCGGTGGGGTTAGCGGGTGCACACTGTCACTAAAGGATGGATCAACAGCAAGGTGCTGCTCTATATCACGGGGAACTGTACTCAGCACCCTGAGATAAACCGTGATGGAAGAGATGTGGAAAAGAATATATGTATTCTTATATTCATATTTATATATATACACATATATATATGAAGCATAGTTGATTTGTAATGTCATGCTAATTTCTGCTGCATAGCAGAGTGATTCGGTTATACACATATATGTAGATCAACTGCACTTCAATTGAAGAACAAGAGGCTGTTGATCTGGGCCTTCTCCTCACCGCTCTCTGCTTTCCATTTGGAGGTGTCCTTGGCGAGTTTCAGCGTTTTGTCTCAGACCTCCGCTTATCCGCTGTTGTTCTCTTAGGTGGTGAACGCACATGCCTTTTGTCTTCGTGGGGCACGTGAACACAGGATTGCCCACCCCCTTCGTAGCCTGCTCCACAATTGCTGCCTCGGTTGCTGGGGAGAGGGCCCAGCTCACAAGGGCAGACTAATGACAGAGTTCAGCTTTGGCTGTGGGATGTGGGTAAATTTCAAACTTCAGATTCATTTCAATTAACTAGGAATTGCTGAAGCCTGTCCTGAGGTGAAACCACAAGGCCCTGTCACTAAACAAGCGGCAGGCACCTCACCACATCAGAGGCTTCTCTTTTCCTCCAGCCGGGAGCCGCCAAGGTTAGGGAGAGCCTCCTGGTGGCCGGTCCCATCCAACAAGATGAAAATGGTGACTCCAGGCAAGAAGTTCGATTCCTTATGGGTCTTACCAGTGCTTTCAATATATATGTATGTCTCCCCACTATTTTAAAAATATATATATATGTATACACATATATATGTGTATACACACACACACACACACACACACACACATATATATACACAAAAAGAAAAAGCAAGGGTGGAATTTCAGAGTTTTTCTCCTTAGGGCTTCTTCTTAGTGACAGCTGAACAAGACCTCTCAACTCTATCCTTTTTAAGTAACAGGCCCCAGGTAATCCCCCCAAAGGAGAAAGCATCTTTCTCTCTAGCAATGTCCATTTTAAAGCTCGAAACACTGACTGCATCAATCAGGTTTGGTTTCCTAAATTGAAAGAAGAAAGAAAGGGAAGAAGGAAGGATGGGAGGAAGACAAAGAAAGAAAGAAAATAAAGGAAAGGAAGCCTAGTTTTATGCATTTTAAATGAAGAACCAAGTCCTTGATTAGCATATTTCAAGAAGCCAGTCTTTTTTTTTTTTAATAGTTTGGATCAAGGACTTTAAGGATCTGATGCTTTGAGCCACTATCCGAGTCTCACTATACTGACTCAACACTTCTTACATTATTATAAGGTGACGGCTAGCAGTCACGGATGCACCAGAACTGTCGTATTGCCTAGCTCTGGACTAGCGTGACCAGTTGTCCTATTTGCCTGACACGAAGGATTTCCCCAGCATGCGATACAGGTGGTCCTAGAATTGGAAAGTCCTGGAAAGTCAGTCATCTGTTTTGGAAGCCAGGGGAGAAACAGAGTTGGGAAGTAAGGGAAGGGACATTTAAGAGGCCCGTGGAAGGGAGGAGTTTAGGAAGATGAGCCAGATTCCGCAGGAGCGTTACTAAACAGTAAGAATAATAATGATGAATAATTACACATAAGTGGCTCTCCTCGAGTAACTGAAATTTGTGGCCTCGAGGGCATTCATTGTTTTGGAGGAATGGTTTGCTAAAATATTATACAATTCTCTGCTTCATTCAAAGAGCAGTGTGTATTATTTAACAGTTCCTTTTGTGATTCAGGCTGCGAGGCCACTTCTTCTTGGTGAGGTGTGTGTTGAAGTCTGTCCATTGAACAGGCAGCTGCTGATTTGGCCTCTGTGTCATTTAGGGTCTTGCTTCTCCCTGCTGCTTTGAGGAAATCAGATAATCCATTCTACAGGTCACATGACTGAGAGTCACACAAAAGATGAGGCTCAAGCGTAGGGTTTTTGCGGTGATGGTACTAATTTTCAGAAGTCCTTTGTTTCCAGGGTGAGATTGCATTCTGAAGGGTCGACTCTGTTACATGGCTTGACTTCTAGAAAATTCTATTTAATTCGGCCAGAAATTTATTGAGGAATTCTGTTATGATTTTGGTTACTTGAAGTGTTCGGTATGGACTTTGTCTTCAAGAGGTCATAGTTTGGAAAATGGGTGGTGCTGTTGTACACTTTTAATATTGTTGTTGTTGAATAGTGTTGTACACTATTAAAATTGAGTTTTATATATAAAAACTTTCTGTCTAATAATCTGTGTCTGTGTTAGTTGCTCAGTTGTGTCCAATTCTTTGTGATCCCGTGGAGTGCAGCCTTCCATGCTCCTCTGTCCATGGGATTCTCCAGGCAAGAGTACTGGGCTGGGTTACCATTTCCTGCTCCAGGGGATCTTCCCGACCGGGGACCCAACCTGCAGCCTTGTGTCTCCTGCATCGGCAGGCTGATTGCTTACCACTAGCGCTACTTTCTTTCTGCTAACTGACCACTTTGACCCCAGACTCTGCTTAGATCTGGTCTGTGAAATGATCTTTGCCTTTGGGCTGGTATCTGGACTCACTCCCATATGAATGGGAACCAACAAATGAATGGAATCTCATACTGTGTAGCTTTATTTGGCTTTTGTTTTTCAACTTTTTGCTAACTCACTTGTACTTCTAAAGTCCCAGGTAAACAACTTTTTATGTGATCCTGCAGACAGAGTGTATTTCAGTAAAACGCATCTTGCTCAGTTGCTCAGTCCCGTCGGATTCTGCGTGACTCCATGGACTGCAGCACGGCAGGTTTCCCTGTCCGTCACCATCTCCTGGAGTTTGTTCAAACTCATGTCCACTGAGTTGGTGCCGCCATCCAGCCATCTCATCCTCTGTCGCTCCCTTCTCCTCCTGCCCTCAATCTTTAGGAGTTGCCTTTAAAATATACAAATATTAGGCATTAGGTACTCAGACCCATAAAAACAGATCATTTACCAATAGAGATATTTCAAAGGCAAGTGTAGACCCAACCCTCATAACATTTGGCAAAAGCAGGCTCAGATGGCAACCATTCACACAAAAACTAGGGAAAGCACATCCTACACACCAGGGGTTTTCTTCAGGCCTGCAGTGAGCTCTCTTTGTGGCCCGAGTTCTCCTCCCTGCCTTGCCAGGCTCAACTGCAAGTCACAGTCTACCTCACTTGGGCACACCCAGTCAATGAGACAGCTGAAGATGCCCCAGGGTTGCCATAGAAACCAAAAGAAGCATCGGAACACCTTCTCCTGCATACCCGTTAATTTCATCTGAGCGACTTTCTTCAGGAACCAAAAATAAAACGTGCACAAGGATGTAATTATATAAAAAGCTGTGTTGGATGATAAATACAGTATGTATTTTTGCCTCAGTCTATAGCTTGCTTCTATCTATTTCGAAACATTTGAACTTTTTCAGCAGGAGTCTCTGTGTAAGGTTTAATTGAAGCGAAGCACAGATTTACTAAGATAAGGCAGTGAGGCTCACTCAGGAAATTCTGCCTTGCCCTGGCTCCTAGCTGACATCTCAATGTAAAGTCTCTCAAAACCAGGTTCACTTCCAGCGTCGGCTCGTGTCGGGCCGCCTCAAGCTCCCTGGAACCAGCCGAAATGGCTCTGTCTTCATTGTGCACAGTCTTAAACGAT